TACTTACAGTCTGTGAGTCAGAACAGCTGGCATTGTGGTCTACTCTACCAGGAGCAGGAAACAGTCCTCCATAAAATGCAGCACACATCTGAATATTTTGGGTTGAACTGTTCTGGAACAGTGTTGTGAATACAACTTAACCACTGAGTTTCGCTTTCACAACGAAACACACGGCAGAGTGAGCAGAGGTGGGCGGGCTTGAGAACGGAGCGGCCAGCGGATTCGATGAAGGAGCGTCCGGCGGGCTTGCGGCAACCACGTGATGACCCTAGGCTGGACTCCGCTTCGTCCACGGTGAAAGCCGATCCACAGAGCGAAGTTGATGTTTTTCCTCAGCGACCAGCATGGATCAGCTCTAGGCGTGACGAAGCGGATATCGTCCTCTTTTGGAAGGCCAAACAAAGTAGTTTCACTTTCACAACGAAACACACAGCGCCTTCACGACATGGCGGCGGCGGCAACAATACTACAGTGAGAATAAAAGTTACACCTTCTTTCTTTGCGTGAACATTTGGGCGGCGTTATGCAAATCTTCCCACATCGTGACGTAGACATGTTGGGGGCGTGTTAGAACGAGCCGTTTTAGGTAGGCGTGGTTGACACTTAACTTTTATAAAGAATATCTCTTTGGATTTGAGACTTTAGTCTTTGCAACTTTACAGATCTTCTTTATGCACCAAGAGCTTGTAACACTCCAAAGACAAAGGAAAAATTGAAATCGCATCATATGACCCCTTTAATTGCGATGTGTTGTGAGCTTATGTTTGCTTTTTTTTAATGTCGTTGTGTTGTGAGCTTATGTTTGCTTTTTTAATGTCGTTGTGTTTTGAGCTTACGTTTGCTTTTTTAATGTCGTTGTGTTTTGAGCTTACGTTTGCTTTTTTAATGTCGTTGTGTTTTGAGCTTACGTTTGCTTTTTTAATGTCGTTGTGTTTTGAGCTTACGTTTGCTTTTTTAATGTCGTTGTGTTTTGAGCTTACGTTTGCTTTTTTAATGTCGTTGTGTTTTGAGCTTACGTTTGCTTTTTTAATGTCGTTGTGTTTTGAGCTTACGTTTGCTTTTTTAATTTCATTGTGTTGTGAGCTTGTTTTTTTGTTTATTGCATTGTGAGCTTATGTTTGCTTTTTTAATTTCGTTGTGTTGTGCACTACTGGGTCACCGTACGCGCTGCCGCGTACCTTTCTTGAGGCGTTTATGCACTGATTTGTTGCGCCATATCAAAGAGCGTCAAAGCGGCATTTATTGTTTGAATTTCCTGAAAAAAGGACATAATTTGAAAGATTAAACTTTGTTTCTTATTAAAAGTAACAATATATAAAACTGGAAGTGTCAGGGTCTGGCGTCTGGTGTTCTCCCTCTCACCAACAGAGGTCGCCATTTCCCATCCTCCCGGACTCCTTTTCCGTTACCTTGACTCCACACACCTGTGCACACACTCACACACACAGCTGTTGCCCATCCTGAGGGCTATTTATACGCCTTCCCCACGCCTCTCTGGGCGGATTATTAATAATTGTTTGTAGTTGTTAGTCATTGTTTGTACGGGACTGATGCAAGCTCTACGTGGCCGTATTGTGTCAGAGTCTTCTGTTTCTAGCCTGTGTGTCAGTCTTCTGTTTCTAGCCTGTGTGTCAGAGTCTTAGCTCTGTTTGTTTTCGGTTTTGACTTTTGTTTTCCCCTGCTGTTAAATAAAACCTGCACTTGGACCCAGACCCCTGTTTACACGGTGTTTTGCCTAACCGCGCCGTGACAGGAAGTTTCTAATGAAGTTCCGCTCGTCCAGTGGTTAAAACAATGCAGTATTTGCTCGGTATATGCATACCGAACCGAAAGACCCGTACCGAAAATTTTCGATACGAATAGGTGTACCGTTACACCGCTAGGATCTGTTTAAATTATTACGTTTTGCTATGTACAGGTCTATGTCTTTTGAATTAAAGTGCGCAGTGAACTCTGTTGCCTTGAAACTCATGCTGGCATTATTCATTTCATATGGTGGCAGAAATGGGTCTCGTGACGTCAGGAGCTATATACAATCTCCTGTCGGCCTTGCTCGATACTAAAAAAAGAGCGCTTTCCGTGTGCACGATTTGAGATGGAGTGAAAGCTATTTTGCGCTTTGCATGTCAAAATGTCCGTCTTGGTGAGTTTACACTAAACCCAGTCAGTTATGTCTTAAGTGAAAATAAACAGTTAGAAAAGTAATCGAATGCTAGTCAGTATCTGTGCATTCCCTAACAGCATACTGTATAAACCTGCTGCTGTCTGTCATCATCTGTTAATCAAACAAAATGAGAGAATTATTCACTGCTCGTTCATAACTTTATGAATCAATTTATGTTGAATTTATATGGTGAAGTCTATGCAGTGCTTTATTTTTACATGTGATTACTTGAATCAATTTCTGTATGTAGGCTATTATTGGCTAAATTGTTTAATTGTTAAAATTGTTTTTTATGAACGCACATTATTTTTTATTTATTTATCTTAGATCAGTTTTATTAATTTGAACACATCTTTAAAAACATATTTGTATAAGAAAGAATAGTAATTAATAGTCTCTTATTGGCCTATTTAGCCAAGACTTCCATAGACAAAATTAGTCCTGCAAATGAATAAAAGTACACATATTATACACTTAATATTTAATGGTACTTGATCATTTGTAACTGCATTTAGTAAATTACATTTTTAATAAAACATCTGCACTTGAATTGTAAAAAAGTGCTGCAAAGTACTGCATCCACTGAAGTACGTACAACCATTACTAAAGCCACTTTGGTGTGGAGAGTGACATTTGCCACTGAAATGTTATTCTTATCCTTTTTTTTTTTAGACATTTCTATTGGTACTCCAAATCTGATACATTTAACTCTTTTTCCCATAAATTTTTACCTTATGGATATATCCAATCAGTTCCCTTATGTTCAGTGCTGGGCAGATTATGTTGAAATTGTAGTCCATTACTGATTACAAATTATGTAATGAAAATTGTAGTTAATAACAATCTATTAGATTACACATTTTAGGTAATATAATCCGACTACTTTTTGATTACTTTTAGATACTTTATGACCCAACTCATTTATCACGTAGATTTGAATAGAATTGTTCCGTACCATATTGACTGAAAAATATAAACAGAAAGAAAATACATTCCATTCTTTGTTATTAACAACTTTTAACATCATATTACACCAGGGTTTCCCAAACTGGGTGTTGTGAAGGAACTGCAGGGGGTTCGCGAGTTGATGAAAAGCTAATAATTAGGTTAATCATAAAACTGTTAAAATAATAATTAATACAAAAATGAAAAAATAAAATAAAAACAATCAAAATAAGATACTTGAGCACTAAAAAGATGAAATATTTATTTAACTTGTGTCATATGACCATCATAGAAATGTGAACATGCAAACGTGTTGTTAAATTATTGAGATATTAACTTAAAATGTCAAGGTTACTTAAAGTAACTATTTTAAGTGAAAGGGGTTTCAGATTTTAAATAATTTTTGTCCAGATTTCTAAAATCAACAATAAATGAAGGTCACTCAATATGATAAAGACAGTATTTCACAGCTATCTGATTATGAGTGTTATGTAACAATGTAATTACAAGTACTTAATTTTTGGAATCTGATTACGTAATCCACATGACGTGATCAGTTACTACTCAGCTCTGCTTATGTTCATGCAGGTAGTTCATAAACTTAACTGTTAAACTTAGTCAAACTTCCTCAAACACAAAGTGTAATGATATGTTTTGCTTTTATTTTCAACCATAAAATGTTTTGCTTAAAAAAAAAAAGTTTGCATGCTATCTTTCTTCAAAACAATCGAAAATGCAATGCAATTTATGATTTTTAAGCATTACATGACTGTACAAATACTTTTGGGGCCACCGTATACTGCTTTAATATATTGTTTCCCTATATGATGGAGTGTTTCAATTATATTTTGCTACTGCACTACAGCCAGCTGAACTCTCTGAAAAATTTGCTTAAAGTCATTTGGAAAAGCAAGAATGTTTTTTTTTATTCATTTTTATAAAACTTTACAATCATAAAGGCCTCATACCTAAAGTCTAGTCCTTTATTTACCGAAAAATCTGAGCCAAAAATATTTATTCTTCCACCACTAGCAAATTATTATTGGTCAGCTGCAAACATAAAAGCAATCTCTTTTTTATAAATCAAAATATTAATTTCTAAACTGAAGTAAGATATTTTCATTTGAGCAATTTAAGTAGTTAAGAAAAGTAAATAACCATACCTGTAATTGAAACTAAAGATTCTTACAAAAAAAGGGGGAAAATCATCATATTTATCAATTAGTTAAGTTAAATAAAACTAGTCCGATAGCATTCAAAATTGTACAGTTGAGTCTTATACAAACTATCGCATGAAAATGGGTATAAAACCTATTTGACATCGGCTTCCTGGAGTCACCTCAGTGTTTTCAAACATGACGATGCAGCACTTACAATGTTCCATTTCCGTTCTTAAATCTTTCTTCTCAGTGAGAGAGCATGTCACTAACAGTACTGATTATCCAGCCATAGCCAGATATGCTTCCCATTTAAGCACTGATGGTTTGGTTAGGTGGACAGGATCTCTGAATGGCTTCAGCATAGATGTAAGACAGATTTATTGATCTCAGGGTTGGTCCAGTCATTTCGTAAGTCATCCAGATGGTTGTCAAAGTCTACGAGACTCTCGTATGATTTGCTTTCTAGAAGAGCTGCTGTGATCTTCTGTGCCTCTATCCAATCCTCAAAGCAGTCACTGCAATTTAAAGAAAGTTAGACAAAACATTAAACTTCTGTTTTTAAGCTTTTCTGCCTTTTAACAGTCTCATTATGTGACAATGACATTAGACCTCCATTGTTATGTAATTATTTTATGAGTTCATATACAGTATGGCAGTAATGAAAGGTCAAGACTGGGTCACCCACTCATAGTACATGGACTACTCTTTTTGTGTGTGTGTTTTCATCTAAAGAAAGGAATTTATATTAATTTTTGGGTGGAGTATCCCTTTAACCAATAATATTAGACATGAACAAATAAAAGCATTTTAATTTATGAGGCATCAGTGCTCAGCTAAACAATACATTTGATGTTGGTAGTGCAGAATGTCAGTGTAAACAGAATGGGTCACGTGACGTCCGGAGCTCTATAGTCACTTTGTGATGTGCTGGAAGAAATTTGACTGGTGCAGAATCTTGCCCCCTTAGAGCAGTCCAATTAAGAATATCGGTGTTAGACTAAACAAGTCCCACACTGGTCGGAAAATCCTATATTTGAGCAGATTTTGCAATTCATTTTGAGCCGTCTTGTTATTTGGTGTGCGATTTAGTCTGGCAGCGTGAGAAAATGAGACAATGGTTCTCATTTCACTGCCCATGACTTATTGCAGACCCCCCTCCCCTACCCCCAAATAGCCAAAATGAGACAAGTTTGCATCCCTGTTTGACGTTTTTACTCATTTCAAAGCTGCTTGACAAACAAAACAATGTGTACCAATTTTGTTCTTAAAACTGCATGCTTTAAAGGGGTCATATGACATTGCTAAAAAGAACATTATTTGGTGTATTTGGTGTAATGCAATGCGTTTATGCGGTTTAAGGTAAAAAAAAAAAAAACATTATTTTCCACACACTGTACATTATTGTTGCTTCTCTATGCCCCGCCTTTCTGAAACGCTTCGATTTTTACAAAGCTCATCGATCTGAAAAGCGAGGTGTGCTCTGATTGGCCAGCTATCCAGTGTGTTGTGATTGGCAGAATACCTCAAGCATGTGACGGAAATGTTACGCACCTTACCATACTGTGATACCTTGTCCTGGTGCGATGAGACAAAACCAATAAAACCTATTACAAACGAGGCATTTGTTTTATCCAGTGGGGACATAATTACTGATTATAATGACTTATACTGTCTTTTTACGCATTGCATTTGTAAATACAACTTAACCACTGAGTTCTAGTTGTGACCGCTTTTGGAAGGCCAAACAAAGTAGTTTCGCTTTCACAACGAAACACAGCGTCTCCACGACGACGTGGTGGCAACAATACTACAGTGAGAATCAAAGTTACGCCTTCTTTCTTTGCGTGAACATTTGGGCGGTGTTATGCAAATCTTACCACATCGTGACGTAGACATGTGGGGGCGTGTTTAAATGAGGCGTTTTAGGAGGGCGTGGACGAGTCTTAACTTTTATAAAGAATATCTCTTTGGGTTTGAGACTTTAGTTTTTGCAAATTTAGGGATCTTATCTATTCACGGACAGCTTGTAACACTCCAAAGTGAAAGGAAAACTTGAAATTGCATCATATGACCCCTTTAAGTGTATGGAAATGATCAGCGTAAACGTAACGCAAGTAAGTGATGACAGAATACAAATTTTTGGGTGAAATATGATCGTAACGTTACAAAATGAACTCTACTTACGTGCTTGGCTCTCTGCACTTCCACTTGTTATCATGATGATCATAGATGAAGAGAACAGGCACAAAACACTCCATTGTGAATCTGCTGTTGTCCAACTAATGGTGACAAACAATGCAGTTTTACTGTGTAGCTATATGTGTGATAGGGCTGTAATATTGCTAATTTAAAAAACCAATGTAATATGTAAATTACCATAATCATTGCAGCCTCACTGAAGTTTTCTGAGATTCTGGCAGCGACCTTCTCAGCCACCTGGTTTGGTCTGAAAAGTTGGAAAGATCACAACATTCCACAATCTACATACACCACATACATATCATGCAAAGCACATTAAGAAGCCCAAATTTTACCTGGCTTCCTTTATACGCTCATTTGCTTGATAATAGCCAGCAATAACATACTTGTTCTCTTTGCACCATGTATCAATCTGAGGAAAGAAAGACATTACATCTATAAGTGCACCAAAGTATTGGGTTCACATGACTTTTTCATCTGAGATTCACACAGTATACTGATTACAGGGATAGTTCTCAGTAACCTGATTACAGGGATAGTTCTCTTGTCCTGCTAAAAAGATCAATGGTTTATGCTGAACTAGCTGATGGACTGACATAACTATGCTATGCCCCAGTAAAACTTTAAGGTAGGAGGATCGTGATAGTTTTGCCAGTTAACATGGTGGGGCCTCAGTTCACCAACACATTTGATTGTGACAAGCTATTTGGTATGAGCTAGTGATCTGAAAGTTGCAAGCTAAAATCACACAAACAGTGAACCATGATAAATCACCAATTGTGGCTTTGGTCAAGACACTGGAATAATGGAACTAATTGAACCCCAAATCTGCACCAAAGTGAATGAGAAAAACTGTAACTTTACCAGTCACCCCTGGAAAATGTTACTTTTCAAATCTCTATTTCATAAGAACAAACTGTGGTCAACGATGTTCCAAGAAAGACTGAATCATCTAACAAGCATGTACACTGAAATTGACATACTTTTGGAAGTTGACTAGTGGTTAAACGGATCGTAGTTGATCTGTGCGGACCAAGCCCCACGGTTCGGCACGCATGTGATCCGCGGATTAATTGCAAAATTTAACCTTAATAGAGTATAAGTTTATAATTTGTTCGTATTTACACAAGCAAGCGAATTTTAAACAATTCCAGAGAGAAAAGGCGAAAGGGAACTCGATTCGTTACTCGCGCGCTGTTCTCTACGCGCACAGCCGCGCACACACATGAAGCGCGCGAACACCGAACTAAATCCTCTTCTGAATCCTCTGAACAGACGCATCAAATTATGACAAAATACCCATCTCGACAATCATTCAGGTAAACGCAGTCTGTTATGTCTCAAGTGAATGAAAACAGCTGAGAAAGAAATCGGATGTGATGTGTATATCATTATATCGGATCTGTGCATCAGGTCTTAAAGGGACAACGGCCTATAAATACTGCTGCTGTCATTAATGATCATCAAACAACAAAACAGCTGTGATAAAAAAAAAAATCTATATTTAATTTATACAGTGAACACTATGCACGTCGCATCATCCAAGTGGATGCTTCACACTGGTGATGGTTGAGGAGAGACTCATTCATTCATATCCAACTTTACCAGCGTACATACCAGTGACATATACTACAGCAAATCTCAACTGCTTCATTGTTTATACCGTCGTTAAATATTAACAATATTATCATCCATCTCTAATCTGCTCTAATCTTGGTAACCCAAAGGTTGTGAGTTCGAGTCTCAGATCCGGCAGGAATTGTAGGTGGGGGGAGTGAATGTACAGTGCTCTTTCCCACCTTCCACATGTCACTTCACTCACTTAAATGGAACTATAGTGCATTTTAAGACTATTTTAATATATTATAAACATTAACAAAATGATTTTCTATAAATCTGCTTTGAAACTTATGGGTAGCCTATTGCAAAATAAAAATGACTCGACTTTTTACGTGATTTCAAGTGAACCATTTGTGAGTATTTTGTGGATTGATTAATTAATTATTCAGACCGAACTGTAATCCGGTTTAACCTATTCATTGAAAAGAAACGACTACAAATAATTATCTACATTAATAACTTTTCCAGCCCGGGAAAACTCAATATTATTACTCCCGGTTATTTCCTAAATTGTGAACGGGGTAGCCCAGAATCTATCTCCACAACTAAAATTATATGAATCGTCTTACCAATGTGAGTGCCACCTCCAGCATGGGGGCTAACGCCAAAGCCCCATGGAACAGAGGTACACAATCCACGCACAACACGGAGTCTCTTGGGCTGTCCTTCTTTTTGTGTTTCTCAGCCACCAGCAGCCCGTTAACGGCGCAGTGAGGGTATTTAGCAGCATGTAGCAGCATCTTACAGTACGCTTGAGTGGTCAGTTTTAAGGACATGTTTACAGATCTTACTGTGATCAAACCCCCTATTCCGCGAGAGTGTCTTGATGTCGTGATACTTTGGAATGAATCACTGTCTCAAAATTATGACATCTGATTAGAGTCCCTCGAACACGTTATTCGCTCATTACTACACGTCAACCATCACCTCCATTCTGGATCTAACATGCACAGCTGACCCTGAACCGGCTGGTGTTTCCTGTATGTTCTTCTTCTTCGGTTTTATGGCGGGTCGCATCAATGTTAAGGTGCATTATCGCCACCTACTGTATTGGAGTGTGGACCAGAGTTTACCCTTTCATAACGAGTTTCCTGTATGTTCGAGAAGGGTGTTCCTACACAACCGGAGGCTGCAGTTTCAGGACCGCAGTTCTAGGACCCTATTCTTTTGTAACAGCGCCACCTACCGAATTGGATAATATACCGGAGGCTGCAGTTCCAGGACCGCATTTCTAGGACCCTGGTGGTTTAGTTTGTAGTAATGTTTGTACATGTTGTTAAAGATATTGAACCTCAGGAACATTTTTTTTTATTTCAATTGTGATTTTTGATTTATAAATGCATCAGATGTTAATTACAAAATGTGTAATACCTGCTTTGAGTTAACAATTTTAAATTTAAATGAATTTACACTTAAAATATAAATGAAAAATGTATTTCAGTCTTTAAACAACTGAAAAAAGTGGAGTACCTTAAGTCTTAGTTTCTTGAAATATACTGTATATTGATTAGCCCCCTTAAGTTACTAAATTTACTCAGCTCCTCCCAGAGCTCCTCCCCGACTAATGCTTAGTGCTAACTGCTAACAACAGTGGTCTGCTTTTCCTGTCACGGAGAGAAAAGCTACTGGATGAATTACTTCAGGGGTTATTAAATAATATCTGGATGCAGCCATATGTGATAAAAGGTCTCCAGCGTGCATGTATGTATAGCGCTGTGATTTTAATTGAATCATGTTGCAAAACGGACCAAATGCAGTGTAATTTTCAATAAAGGCAGAAAACCGCAAACTGCTCGTCTGAATTTATTAAAGGGGTCATATGATGCGATTCAAAAAAAGGTGAAGGCTGATTTTAAAAAGATTACAATTTAATAACAGTGTAACTGGCATTGATGACATTTAACGGCATTAAACCTCATAAACACATTTCATTACACCAAATACACCAAATAATGTTTTTTTTAGCAACGTCATATGACCCCTTTAATACAATTGCTTCAAAAAATTATAATTGATATATATAGTGTATATAGGGTTTTATTTTAATATTTAATACAGGGTTTCTGCAGGTATCATCAAATCTAATTTAATGCTTTTTAATGCCTTTTTAAAAAATGTTTAATGCCATACACCAGTGTTTCCCAATCGGGGGTGCAGTGTAAAAAATCCTTTTTTTTATATTTTTAAACTGCTAAAATGTTCCAAAAAAGCATCTATTATATAATATCCATTTCTGATGTCGCCAATAATTAGAGATGCACCAAAATTCCGGCTGCCGAAAATGAATTCACCGCTCAGGTTTCACTTTCACGTGGTTTGACGCTCTGCATATTATCCCGCTTTATGCATGTGCACGCTGCTCAGTCGTGAGCGCTCCACTCATATACCGTTCATGCTCATCGGAACAGCAAAGTCCACTCAAAAATCGAGCCGACAGGAAACATCTATGTAGTACAGTATTGTTTCTGTTTGCAATAGCCCTACTGTAACATGGTCTGGTATATGGGCAGCTCTGGTAACACTGCCCTCTCACTCACAGATCTACTAACCGCTATGTTATGCTCACGTGTTTATCCCGCTCTATGCGTGTGCGCTCCGCTCAGCTCCACTCATATACTGTTTGTGCTCATCAGAACAGCAAAGTCCACTCAAAAATCGAGCCGACAGGAAACATCTATGTAGTACAGTATTGTTTCTGTTTGCAATAGCCCTACTGTAACATGGTCTGGTATATGGGCAGCTCTGGTAACACTGCCCTCTCACTCACAGATCTACTAACCGCTATGTTATGCTCACGTGTTCTGATAATAATAGCTTTCTAGGACTAACATTATTTGTATAATTGGTAAAAAAAAACACTAAATCTCTTAATAGCCCTACTGTTAGACCTACCTGAAAAATTAAAAAGCAATTTATTTCATTTGTAGGCCTATCGTTATTTTTTATTTGTGCTATCATTAGTAATTTCTTTATTTGTTCTTATTTTATTACTGACTGCTTACTTGTCATTTTTTATTCAATACAAAGTTTGAAATCAATTTATCTCGTGCTACTACAACAAAATTACCCCACTGTAAAATAAAAAATACACTGAGTGAGCAAAACTTTGTGAGATAGCTAGTTATAATGGTTTGCATAATGTTTACATATGAATAAAAGCCTACATTAAAATCTCTCATATAAATTGGTCTCTTCATTAGAAATTAGCCTACTGATTGCCACCATTGATGGACAAAATTTTTTATAATATTAAAAATATCTGTATGACAGTATATTCTGCAGTTCTTCCCTGCTGTACCGAATATCTATACTTTTCAAAGTATCATATCGAAGTTAGAAATTCTAATATTGTGACAAAATAAATTTTGTAGAGTGCCACAAATTTGTTAAAATTTCGAAAAGGGTGCTGCGACTTTAATTGCACTGCAATTAAAGTCTGTTAAATCGCTGATGCAACTAAAACGCACTATAAATGCGCACGCGCACTAGTCTAACCTACTAATGTTAGGTGTTTTGTTTGCTTTTCGTGATATACTAGATAATATCAAATCGCACATCGTTAAAACAACAATTACGATATTATCGCAGACCATGCATATCGCACACCACTATTAGATGTTATATTGCATTGTCTTCTTATCGATCCACCAGTTCACATTTAAAGCATGTTTGCAGGGTAAAAACATGGGTCGATTTTCGCATTGGTCTGAACTCTGAACAAAACAACAGTTTTATTGAAAATGCTCATTCATTCTCTGACAGCAGGTGGAGCGTTTGGTAGAAATATTACTGTTTTCCCGGTAACAGCAGAACAGAAAGCGACGCAGCACCGGACTTTGAACGTGCAGCGCTCGTGTTTATTTCATGAAATCATAACATTAGCCTTTTGAAGTTTAATCGTCACATTCAGCCATATCGCAATTCTGGTCTTTCCGTCCCCAAATTTAAGACCTCTTGAAATCATAATTAAGGCTTTCTTGTACAATTTAAGACTTTTTAAGGCCTTACATTTGATACAACTAAATTTAAGACTTTCTTAAGACCCGCGGAAACCCTGATGTAGGTTTAAAATTCTACAAAAGACACATTTAATGTCCAAAAACAATTTTTTTTTTTTTTTTTTTTTTTT